GCTTGGTCGCTGTGGGAGACAGGCTTTGGTGGGGATGGAAAGGGAGATCTCAGTGGGTAAGTCCATGGGGACCAAGTGGGGTGAAGCCTGGAGTCACTCGGGGAGCCCTGGAGCATCCTCAGCCCATAGTTTTCGGCGCTAGCCACGCGTAATTATGCTGCCCCGAGAGCGTAGAGCCAGCTCAGTACCGCAAGTGGATCTCCGGGCCGGCGGGCGGGTTGTCCGTGGCGAGGGGAACCGGGAGGTAGAGCCTCAGTGTCGGTGGGCAAAGTCCAGGATGCGCCGCTGTCCTCCAGCTCAGTTCGCGTGGGGAGGCTGGAGGCCCCGCGCGCGGGGAAGCCCTGCGGCGACCAGAACCCGGGGAGCTGCTGGAGCGTCAGGGCGAGCGCGCCGCCCTACGGCTCGCCGGCCTCCGCGACCGAGGGGGGCTCAGTCCTCACCCCCCGTCTCCTGCGGGTCCCGCGTTTGGCTCATCCGCTGTGGTTCCTCCCCAGGTCGCAATGGATCTTGAAGGCGGCCAGAATGGAAGAGCAGGGAAGAACTTCTTGAAAATGGGCAAAAAAAGGTAGCCAGTTTGTTTCATTTTCATACTTTCCCTGGCCTGAGAGACTTTTGAGCAATTCGTTTCTAGCCTTCAGCTCTGAAATAGACGAGACGCTTTAATCTTCAGCGCTCGCGGTTACCCTGCAGAAGTTCGCACGCTGAGTTGAGCCCAGAGTTCGCGTTCACCCTCCGCTTTGGTGAGCTGCTTCCTCACCAGTCGGGCCTCAGGCCAATGCTCACATCCTTTTTTTGTGTTTTATAACCTTTCGTTTTCCAAGCCATGTATATCAGTCATGTTGATCATTTTCGTGCTTGACCTGTGTGCTGCTTATACTCTGCTGCTTGGTCCAGTCTGCTGCTCCTGGCAAAGCAGTCACATAAACTTCGCTCATTTGTGGCATGGCGGATAGGGCAGAAGGCCAAAACTAAATTTAGGTGGTAATGTTTTTAAAAAGGCAGTGACTGTCTGACCCTTGTAGAAGAAATTCTGAAAAGAGAAGACTGCAGTACCAAAGAAGACTACAAGCATGATGTGAAATTATCCTGAACGTATTTAGAATTGGTATTGTAACCATACAGAAAAAATAACTTTTGGGGGCAAATTTGGATCATAGTGCAGTGTCTACACAGGAAATTTTAAACTTGAAGCAGTAGGTGCATTGTTAGTAGATTGTAAAATAAAACAAATTAGTAAATATATTATTATTAGAAGCTGAGCTTTTAGGTGTGAGAGAAAAATATAAATGTGGTATAAATGTGGACATCAAATAAGTTTTTTTTTTAAAGCAATGTTAAATTTGAATTGGAAACCAGTATGGATGCATGCTTTTTTTTTTTTTTTTTTAACTGAGCCATCCTGCCACCTGTTGGCAGCTAAATGGTAGCTCAGCTTGGACTGGGGCTCGAACCGCTGTTGCTCAGAGCTCAAACTCTTGAGCGAGCTCTTGACTAACTGAGCCACTTGGCTGTCCCTAACTCATGCTTTTTGAATAGTTCCTTTTCTGTCCACTGAAAGGGGCAATAGTGAGGAACACAATGAGTGTCAGATCTTGGTTTCTAAACACCATTTCTCACTAAAAGGAATGTGAACCCCATAGAGAAATGGATAATTCCAGCCATGTCTGGGTAGGGAAAATATAAAGTGAGCCTGGAGTATCTTGTGGTGTTTAGGAAGTGGAGTTTAATGAAGTTTTCACAAGGACATAGGAGTTGGCGTGAAGGGGCTTCCACTGGCCAAATCTGGGACAATATGAACAACAAAAAGAATAATGACTGTATTTGTGAAATACTGAATACAATCCATGAACCCTTAATAAAATTCTGAGAGGAGGAGGAAATCTAAAAAGGTGGGTGAGGTACAGAGAATAAAGAAACGTTCTTTACAGAAAAATGCCAGCTATCATTTTGGAACCTGCATTGTTATAATTGATTCAGGCAAGGATTGTTAATGGCTCCTAAACCACTCAGAGAAAAGTTGTATCTAAGAATTATCCAAAATTCTTACTAATTGGAAAAAGAAAAGTGTGCTTTTCCAGTGGGGCGATTTTGCAGTTAGCACCTTAACCAAGTGATCAGACCTGACATCACTTATGGTGCAGTATACTGTGTTAGTGACAAGACACCACCTGCCTAGAAAGTATGTTAGCAAAAACATTTAATCTGAATCTAATCAAGCTTCTAGACTGATGCGGTCCAATAGAATATAATGTGAGCCACATTTGAAAGTATTAATTTTATAGTAGCAACATAAAAACGTAAAAAGAAACAAGTGAAATTAATTTTGAAAATACATTTTAAGGAACCCAGTATATCCAAAATATTATTATTTCTACCTGTAATCAGAATTATTAATGAGATGGTTTACATTCTCTTTTTCATATAATAAGCCCCCTGTTATCTGCAGAGATATGTTCTAAGACTCCTGGCAGATGCCTGAAACCAGTGATAGTACCTAACCCTATATACATATATAGTTGACCCTGGAACAACACAGGTTTGAACTATGCAGTTGCATTTATATGCACTAGTTTTCAATTGACTTTAACAGTTCAAACCTGTGTTGTTCCAGGGTCAACTGGCAGTTGGGAATTCAAGTGTGCAGGGGACCAACTAAAGTTATGTGCAGATTTTTCTACTGCACAGGCAATCAACGCTGGTAACCACCCACCCCCAGCTGTTTAACGGTCAACTGTACTACTATATTTTTTCCTATACATACATCCCTATGATCAAGTTTAATTTATAAGTTAGGTTTGGTAAGAGATTAACAAAATAAATAATAATAAAATAGAACAATTATAACGGTATACTGTAATGAAAGTTATATGAATAGCTTTGGGGCCATTATTAAGTAAAATAAGGGTTACTTGAACATAAGCACTGCACTCCGGAGACTGCCAATCTGATAACCAAGATGGCTATTAAGTAACTAATAGGTAGTGTATACAGCAAGGGAATGTATACAAGGGATGATTCGTGTCTCCAGCTGGTGCACGTGACACTCCACCACTCTACTCAAAACAGTGCACACTTTAAAACTTATAAATTGTTTATTTCTGGAATTTTCCATTTAATATTCTCAGGCCACCGTTGACCACAGTCAGAGAAACCACAGAAAATGAAACCACAGATATGGGGGGCGGGACACTAAGTCCTCAAATCTGCACATCTTACTGCATATCTCAGTTTGAACTCAGTTTGAAACACATATCCAAGTTCTTATTTCCACACAAAAAAATCAATGTGGTGGGAGTAGGACTTAGAGATTTTAGAAAAAGACTAAAGAGACAAAACCACCAAATGTAATATGTGAGCCTTAATTACATTAGAGTTCAGAAAAGGAAAAACCTATAGGAAACATTCCTGGGAAATTTGAATGTGGATTGGATATTAGATGATATCAAAATTGCTGTTAATGTTTTTAGATGTGATAATGGTAGGAGAACATGTGAAGTGCCATGATATTTGCAACTTACTTTCAAATGGTTCAGCAAAATATTAACAATGATAATATATACTTCCTTATATAGATAAACAAAATATGGTCAAAATGTTAACAATTGTTAAATCTAGGTGAATGTTATATAAATAGTGATTATTACTATTCTTTTAATTTTTCTGTTTATTTGAAAATTTTCATATAAACCAAAAAAGAAAAAAGACTCCATAGAGTGAAGGTAGATGTTTCTCTTTTTGTTTCAAACTTTTTTTTTTAAACTTGGTACCTTAAAGAGCTATGTATTTATGATACAAACACATAGGGATATTGAAGTAAGACGTATTGAGGGTATGTGGAGGGAAATGGTAAAGAAATTTGTTTGAGCCTGCACATACCTTCATTTTATTATTCATTCTTCTGGCCTACAGACTTTTTTCTAACTAGAAATTTTTATTTATTTATTTAGTTAGTTAAAGTAGTTTCTATTAAACTGCTCATCATTTTAATCTGTTCTTAAACTATATATCCTTTTTTTCCAGTTTTATTGAGATATAATTGACATACAACACTGTATAAGTTTAAGGTATACAGTATAATAGTTTGACTTACATATATTGTTAAATGGTTACCACAATAAGTTTAGATAACATCCATCCATCATCTATTTCATACAGAAACAATAAAAAAAAAAGAGGCAAAAAAACAAAACAAAAATGTGTTTTCCCTTGTGATGAGAACTCTCAGGAGCTATTCTTTTCACAGCTTTCCTGTATATCAAAGAGCAGTGTGAAGTATAATCATTATGCTGTACATTATAGCCCTGGTACTTTATCTTACAACTGGAAATTTGTACCTTTGGATCACCTCCCATTTCCCCGCCCACCCTCCACGCACACCTCTGGTAATCATAAATCTGATCTCTTTCTCTATGAGTTTGTTTTTTCCCCAACTCTATATATTCTAATGTGAAATTATAAAGAAGCATGTGGCTTTGTTAATAGGTATAATCCTTAGATAATAGTACCATTTGGAATACCTGTATTTGCCAAGATTCCTAGTTATGAATGAGGTTTGGCGAGCCATTTGCCTTTGGTAAGCACTGTGTTTTGAGCTGATGAGGTAAATAAGTAATCTAGTAAGGGTGAAAGTCAGCGTGAAAGTGCATTTGCATGGAATGCACTAACTCAAGTCTGAGATTGCACTGAGGGAATAGACTGTTCAGTTAAAATCGGCTTTGTTCTAGCTGTGTGACGTTAGACAGGATCGTTAACTCCTCTCACCTGCAGTTTTCTCATCTCTAAAAGGACAAAAAAATGTGCCCGCCTCACAGTGATTAAGATTAAATGAGATCATGTATGGGTTGTGTTTACCCAGCCAGCACCTCAGGAACATTATAAATTCTCCAAAATAACAGCAGTTTTCGAGAATGAAAAAATAAATGAAAAGCTTAAAGCTAAAACTCAATTATGTATGGCTATTTTTCTCCTCTCATCCTGGTTCCAGAGTCACTGAAACCTTGCCTTTACTGGGAATAGGGTGGGACCACATTAGAACAGCTATGTTTGTGTATTTTGTGTTTTTTTTGAAATGTCCGTCTAACATCACCCCAAGGCCAAATATGGGATTTGGATTTTTTTCTTTAGAAGTACCTTCAACTCTTTGACCTCACTTAGTGTAAAGAACAAAGACAAAGATGAATTTACTGTTTGAACTTGAAAATCTGTGTAAAAATAATGCGATTCTTCTCTGAAATAGCCTTTCTTTTATACATTTGAAAATATAGATACGGAGGCTGGTCATAATTGGTTTGCTTTTATGTCCTAGGTGGCAGTTACATAGAGTAGAATCGGGTTACAGAGTTAGATTCACTCGAATCCCGGCTCAAAATAATAATTGACTTTGTTATGCCTGAGAACAGCTTTTTTTTTTTTTGCAGTTTGGACCATCCCTTTTGACCGCAGCTTTTGTAGATTGCATTTATTGTCGAAAGAACCCATTTAGGGCTCCAGACTTCCTTTCAGAATTAGATTTGCTTATAGTGATTTAATTACTTTTCTTAGTTTAGTTTATGCCCAGCATCTGATTGCTGTTACTTTCCAATGGTTAAGAGAATGATGAAGGCTAATATCTAGGTAGTAGAGAGAATATCTGCTTCTAGTATTTCTGAGATGATAAATAAGGGTATTGATTTGGGAGAGCATGAATGATTAATCAGAGTAAAAACAGGAAGCTCTCTTTTTTCAGTATTAGTTTTTTTGAATTGCAAAAGTTGTGTCTGTGTGTGTGTTTATCATAGAAAATTAGGAAGTATCAAAGGCACAAGGAAGAAAATATTTTGATAGAAATCTCAATACCCAGTGATAATCACACATATAGATTTCTAAGATACAAGCAAACATGCTTAAAATTCTAAATGGGCTTATACTATTAACCTGTTTTTTTAATGAATAATATATTGTGGACATATTATAAGCTCTATGCTAATTTTGTAATTAAAAATTTATGTAATTTTAAAAGTTCTGTGTAATTATATTGCTCTGTTTTTCAGTAAAAAAGATGAGAAGAAAGAAAAGAAACCAACTGTCAGTACATTTGCAATGGTAAGTTTTGAATTTATTCACTATTCAAAATGCTTTGGAAATTTGACTTCTCTGTACCAAGAGAAGAGGTATTTCAACTCATAATATTTTCTTGGAGAGTTTGTTAATGGAGAGGTAAGATTCATTGGTTTAATTTAGCTCATTTTCAGGGGGAATTCCGACCATAACTTGCCACGTGAATTGGACCTCAGTAGCTACACTTCTTGTCCTAGATTTCAGTATTCTTCTAATTAGTTATGTTGCCAGTGATCTGTTATCCATAGCAAGCTTCTCTCAGTGCTTGTCATAGACAGCGGATCTCTCAGCCATCTGGATAGAGGAGACCAGCCTCATGGTTCAAATAGGACACAAGGTTGTCTGTCATCAATGGCTCTGAAATCCTGACAGGTTTGAGGTCAAAGTCCTAGGTACTCATTTAATAGAAGTTTACAATGGGTCATTTATTACTGTGATTACTGTATCATCATTCTTCTGTGCTGAATAATTGAAAATCTAGAATTTGAAAACTTTTTAATATAATTCCTTATCTCATTTTCTGGTCGCAAGGTGGTTGCTTAGAAGCTCTTCTTTAATCAACTGGGAATAAGGCAGGGGTTTTATAGATATGGCTAGTCGATGGTCTTTCTCTATCTGAATCCTTTTTTTCTAAGAGTGCAGACTTTGGGGAACTGTGGGATTAAAACCTGAAGATTACTAAACCAATTGAGTCTGGTAGAACACTCTTTATAATTCAGTTATAACATGCAGACATGTTTTTAAGTGTGTGGCAGAGGGATGGGCTATCTTGTAAAATGGATATTAGTAAATTAAATATAAAAGTAGTTATAGGCAGGAAAAAACAATCTCCTGACTTTTATGCTAAGGATTCTGGTTATCTTACATGATCATTTTTTTTTTCCTGAGCTGCAATTGCTTGGCTATGGCTCCACGTTTTATTCTATCTCTACTCTGAAATTTTTGGGAAAAGAGACTATACACTTGGGTCATTCTCAGAAAGACTACTTGAGTGTCCAAGTGATAGTTTTTGTTTGTTTTAGATTTCATTCTTATGTTCTTATATTGAAGGAAGCTTTTATGTGGAAGTAGAGTTTATTCCCAAGACTTAATTTCAGTTCTGTCATTTTGAGACTAAAATATTTCAGTCTTTTGTAGTTTAGTTTTTATTATTTGTAGCTTAAATTTTAAAACAAGTCATATTTTAGAAAATCTAACAGACCGATACATAGTGGTAATATTATCAATAGAGTTCAAGCCACAAAAGAATAAAAATATGGAGTTTGAATGTGAGGTAATAATATTAATAACACACATATAGCATTACATGTCAGGTACTATTCTAAGTACTTTATATATGAACTCATTTTTTTCCCTTACTACTCCCTTTGAGATAGATATTATTATTATTATTATTATTATTATTATTATTATTATTATTATTTTAATTTTACAAATCAGGAAACTGAGGCCAGACATATTAACTTGTCCCAGGATATACAGTGGGGCTAAGATTCAGACCTGGGTAGTTCATATTCTAAATCACAGTGCTCAGGATAGCATAGAAAGAATATACTCGAAGCCTGTTGATGAAGTGCTGTACTACTAATGTGGCTTTTCCTGTGTCTTTTTCCTGAAGAGTGGACATAGAAAATTGTGGATCTCATTTGTATATAAAACCTATAAACACATTCAGAAAGTTAAACAGTAAAATGTTGATGTTATTGGCATTGCTTATTAATAACAGTATCCAGCTAAGACAAAAACTCACGTATCGGGTTTCCAAGCACCCCAAGGTGGATGATTCACTAGGAGAATTCCCAGCATATAGTCACACTGATGGTTAACAGTTATTACAGCAGAAGGATACAGAGCAAAATCAGCCATGGGAAAAGGACCATAGGGAGACATTCAGGAGAAACTGGGCCCAAGCTCCCAGAGTCCCCTCCCAGTCCTCTCACACTTAATTCATTCCTCCAGAAGTGAGTTGTGACAACACATAGGAAATACTGTCTATCAAGAGAAGCTCGTTAGAGACTCAGCACTCAAGGTTTTCACTGGGGACTGATCACGTAGGCACAGCATGTCCCCAAATTCCAGACTCATAGAAGGAAAGCACGTGTTCAGGATAAAGCACATTGTTTGTACAGATAGTTCTGGCCACTTTTATCAGTTAGCCCACTTAAGCATCCCCAAATCCAAGTTCCAGATGCCAGCTAATGACAAACCTTATATACAGGCCTTTCTAAACATAACACTCAGGCTTGCAGTGTTCACTGTTTTCTGCATACCTTCCCTGTTCACTTATTTCTGCTAGGAGACTTTTTAGCAGTCTTCAGGAAGTGATAAAAAAGGTAAGGAATAGATGCCAAATTTTCTACTAGCCTTTATTTTATTTATATCAGGCCTTGTTTGAACATTTACAGAAATGTAAAGTAAAATCACATCTAAAGCACGTGAGGAAATGGGGCAAATGGAAATAAGGCATTAAATTTAAGGACTTTAAGTACACAAGTCCTTAAAGATTGTATACTCTTGCCAGGGTCGTTCTTCGGATTCAAATCTGAGCTTTCTACTTTATGTATTATATTGAAACATCAATCTTTTTATCTAAATAGATAATAGCTAGCTATATTAAGTGCTTCCTCCCTGCCAAGCCTTTGTTAAGCATTCCATGATATTACTTAACTTAATCTTCACAGTAACCCGATGATGTAGGCACTTGTGTTATCCTTGTGCCCAAATGATGAAACAGGCTCAGAAAAGTTAAGCAATACATTCAAAGCCACAGAGTCACATAGCTAATAATGGAGCAAATCCAGAATTGTGTCCACTTCTGCTTCTTCTAGAGCCAGACCTTTGAATAGCTTTAATCATTTATGAAAATTTATGACTGTGTAAGCTTTTATCTGCCTGGAGTTGAAGAACAATATGTTGATACTGTTATCTCTGACCACCTGGTCATTCTTCAGATCTTGAAGATTTTACTACCTGGCTCAGTTGTCCCCCCTTTCATTCACCCCTGATTCCCCTACTATCTTGGGTGACTTTTATGGTGTTATGGAGAACCGCTCCTTGACTTTCACAGCTGCAATAATTTTTTTTTCCTCCCCGTCACTCCAGTCATCCACTTACATACTCATAACCTGGATTTTGTTGTTATTTGAAACTGTTCTATCTCCAAAGTGACCAGTTGAAGCAGCCAGCTTGAACGAGCCAGTCATCCGCTTTTTGTTCAATGTGCTCACTCTTCTCCCTGGATCTTCAGCTCACTGACCCATCGATGTCTCATCAGCCCCTTCCTGTCTTCATTCTCTTTCTTATCCAGCTTAAAGTAATAACTCTCGCTTTAGTTAGGCTCTTACTCACCTATAAACTTACTTTCACCTGTCATTTGTCATGTACAGCGTAGGCAAAATCAGCCCTTTGCTTTCTTGGTGCCTGAACCCTGATATCTGATTGATGCAGGAGAAAATCTCAACAGTGTACCCAGCACAGAAATCCTTCTGTTCGTCTCACTATGGCAAACCTCCGCTCTTTTCAAATTTCCCAATTCTTCCTCTCCCACCCCCAATACCTTCTCTCACTCTTGGTGGATAACCTCTCCTTTTATTTCGCAAACAAAATGGAAGCCACCTGACAGCAGTTCCTCAGCTCATCTCTCCCAAAGTACAAACACACCTCCCTGTACCTGGATCAGTTCCCTCTTCCTTCTCTCCTATTATGATAGACCACGGGTCAGCAAACTTTTGCGACGGAAGAGCCTCCAGGGGTCAGCAAACTGTAGCTCGCGAGCCACTTGTGGCTCTTTGGGTACGTACATGTGGCTCTGAAGTAAATTTTGAAATGATAATAAAACTATCATAGTTTCATTTATAAAAATTTTAAAGGATATTATTCACATAATGGTGATTATGTAAAAATATATTTATGGCTCTTGAATAATTTTTAAATTGTTGTGAAGGACAGGATTGGCTCTTCCAGGGGTCGGCAAACTTTTGAGACAGAACGTACCCAAAGAGCCGCATGTGGCTCGTGAGTTGCTGACCACTGAAATAGATAAAGCGTCTGGTACTTAAAACCCCTCACTCACTCCCATATCCTCTTCCTTCTCAAGGACCTTATGTTATTATTATCTCTTCTGTAGCTTCAATCTCTCCTCTCAACTGAGTCTTTCCCATTGGCATTTACACATCAGGTATTTTTAATTTTACTGATGCCCTAATTTCTAGCCATTCCCTTCTACAATAGCTTGCTTCCCACACCGGAGTTGCCTTTGTTTTCTGTCTCCATGTTTCACCTTGCAATCACTTCTAAATATATTATAATTTGGCTTCTGTCTCCACCACTCACCAAATTCAGTGGGCATGTTTTGATTCTATCCTGACATGTAAGTAGCACTTTACACTGTCCTCCGAATTCTTTCTCCTGTTGGCTTCTGTGATGCTGCAGTCTCCTGATTTTCCTCTCAGCTCTTCAATTTTTCTTGTGTTATCTTTGTCTATGAACTTAGAATTCCTCAACCCCTTATCCCAGGAGTCAGTAATGGTGTTGGCATTTCTCTTAATTTCACGCCGCTATTTTCTAATTGTTTTCATGCAGAACTTTTTTCTCATCTGAGTTTCATTCTGCACAATTATAGTATCTTTTATCTATTTTCAGTGGTGTCCTTCTGATTTCTAGTTACTTTTCCTCCTCCGTGGAGAATATTGGCATTTAATTGCTTCTACTTTCGTTCACCTGTGCTCTCATTATTCTTCAGTTTTGGTAACTTCATTAACTTCATTAATGTCTCCTAGGCTCAACATTCTTTGACCTCTGTGGTTCCCACAACCTTCACCCCTATTCTAGTAAGTTATACTAGTGGACAAGGACCTGAGGCTTATCATCTGGGTGGACTTCCATCTATGATACTGTAAACTCAAATGGATGTCTTTACCCTCAACTTCCGATTACTTCTAGCTTATAGCTTGGTCATTCCTCTTTATTATCTTTTTTTTTTTGAC